TCAGCGTGCCGCGCCGCCGGCTCTGGCCCACCACGCCTCGGCGCGGCACGCCGACCACGTCCCAGTCCCCCCCCCTCCTCCTCCTCCTCCTGGCTTCAGGCCCTCGCCATACCAAACCAAACCATACCTCCTCCTCCTCCTCCTCCTCCGCCTCCTCCTCCTCCGCCTCCTCCTCCTCCTCCTCCTCCTCCTCCTCCCCTCCTTCCAGCAATTGCCAAGCGTCCACGTCCCGAGTTTTTTGCAGCCTCCCGCCCCGCGGAGCGGAGCGACGCGCCACCCGCTCGCAGGGCATGCTGTGTCGCCGGGACCGCCGCCGCGCCACGCCGAGCGAAGGCTCCCGACCGCAGATGTTCCGAGTTCCGTGCGGGTTTCCCGGAAGGTTGTATGCTTACACCGTGCATCGTCCAACCTATCCTCATCCCCATTGGGTCATGGCAACCCGGCCCCACCAGCCCACCGTCCCAGGTGGGGATAGGCCCCGCGGATTCCGACGGAACAATGTATGCATGCAGACATACACACACGTACATACATACATACATACATACAGACAGACAGACAGACAGACAGACAGACAGACAGACAGACAGAGACAGACAGACAGACATACACATGCATGCATACATACGTACGTACGTATGTACGTACGTACATACACACGTACGTGCGTATGTACGTACATACACACATACGTAGATCTAATTACATGCATGCATCTTTACATACATATATACACACCTACGCAACTACATACATATATACATCATACATACACATACACGTATACACATACATACACATACGCATGCACATGCATCCAAACATACATACATACGTACACGCATACATACACACATATACACTTACATATGTTTACAACCATATACGCATACACACGCATATCTGCAGACATGAGTGCATACTATGCATACACACATATCGTTATGTCTATATAGATATGCATAAATCTTTGCATCCATACAGCAATACATACATACATGCATACGTACACGCATACACACACGTACATACATACATCCATACATACATACACATACGCGCACACATACATGCATACATACACATGCATACATCATACATACATACATATACACACATACACAGCATCAGCAATCCATGCATACATACATGCATGCATGCTTGCATACACACATACATGCATGCATGCATACATGCATACATACAGGCATACATACACCAAGCCAGACTTACATACATACATGCAAACATATCTGCATACACACATACATACATGCATGCATGCATACATCAATACATACATACATACACACACCTACATACATCCATGTGTACATACAGACATACACACATACATTGAGACATGCATACAAACATACATGCATACATGCATGCATGCATACACATCTGCATACACACATACCTACACACATACATACTTACAACATATATATATATATATATGTGTATATATACATATACATCTATATGTATGTATATGTATGCACACGCGCTATTTATGTATGTGTATATATACACATATGTGTGTGCGCGCTATATACAAATGCACCCAGGTGTGTAAGTCGGTAAGTCGGGGCAGTGGGGCCAATGCCACGCCGGTGGAGATATTGGACCGGTTGGATCGATGCTGAAGGCTTCGGTACCACACTCACATTCGGGGAGCCGGCTGCGGCTGCAACGCCGCGCTGTACTTGGTGGGCATGCCGCAGAACGCCGCGTCTGCGGGCAGGTGCAACGACTATGCATTCGCTTCGCTCACGCCGCCGGCCCATATTGTAGCATCGTTGGCGCTTGCCTGCGTGCTCGCAGGCGGGGTGGGAGGAGGAGGAGGAGGAGGAGGAGCAGGAGCAGGAGGAGGAGGAGGAGGAGGACCAGTGTAAACCCAAGAGGCATCAACGATGTTGGAATATACCCTCCCTCCAAGCTCCATTTTCATAGGCCCCTACAACGGTTCATTAAGACTGAGGGAACTGCCTCATTGGAAGACAACCGATTGAAGACCCTGAAGCATGCCTAGACAATGTTCTCGGTAAACCAACGCAACGGATCAATTTGACTGTTGCGTCTTGACGATCCAGAATCGTGCCAGAACGCCATTCTTGGGACTTTACACCGCGAATTATCGTAGCTGCTGCGCCCTCATAATAGTGAATCCTTCCAAAATACAGGTTCTGGTACGTCGATCGCGGCAATCCGTGAAATTCTTGCCATTTGTTATAACGAATGTGCGCGGCGGTAAGGTGAGAGCCACATGTTGAAAAAGGAACCGCCCTTAACCCGTGACGCTCTTGCAATTTTTAAAAACCAATGTGCGCGGCGCCACGGCGAGAGCCACATCTTCAAAACGACCCGCCCTCAACCCGTGAAGTTCTTGCAAATTTTGAAAACGAATGTGCGCCGCGCTCAAGCGAGAACCACATGTTGTGCGTCGCCCGAAGGCGAGAGCCACATTTTCAAAACCACCCGCCCTCAATCCGTGAGACGCTTGCAACGTTTGTCAAACGAATGTGCGCCGCGCTAAAGCGAGAGCCACATTTTGAAAGCCACCCGCCCTCAATCCGTGAAGCTGTTGGCATTTTTGATGCTTCAGGGTCGTAGATGGTGAGGAAGTCTCAGGCGAAACGCCCGGCCCGCCCTACAAATTGTTTTCGGGGTGAAACAGGGAGAAGTTATTTAGAAGGAATGAAGGAGGAGGAGGAGGAGGAGGAGGAGGAGGAGGAGGTGGAGGTGGATGTGGAGGAGGAAGAGGAGGAGGTGGATGTGGAGGAGGAGGAGGAGGAGGATCAGTGTAAACCCAAGAGTCATCAGCGATGTTGGAACAAACCCTCCTTCCAAGCTCCCTTTTCATAGGCCCCAACAGCGGTTCATTACATTGAGGGATCTGCCTCGTTGGAAGACAACCGTTTGAAGACCCTGAAGCATGCCAAAACAATGTTCTCGGGATTCCAACGCCACAGATCGAACTGGCTGTTGCGCCTTGACGATCCTGAATCGTGCCAGAACGCCATTCCTAGGACTACTACATAGCGAATCAACGTAACTGTTGCACCCGCATAATCTTGAATATCTCCCAAACACCATTTCTGCTACGTTGAGGATGGGAATCCATGAACCTTTGTAATTTGTTTAGGCAGATGTGCGCGGCGGTAAGGCAAGAGCCACATTTTGAAACAGAAACGCCCTCAATCCGCAAAGCTCTTCCACATGTGTTAAACGAATGTGCGCGGCGCCACGGCGAGAGCCACATGTTGAAAACGACCCGCCCATCAGTCAGTGAAACTTTTGCATTTTCAACGAAGGTTAGGGGGGGGCCTCTGCAGGTCCTCGGGGGCCTTCTGGCAGTCGCGGCTCGGAGGCCACCTTTGGGGGGTCGAACTCTCAATTCGGGTTCCCCTTCTTGGGCCTCTTGGGAGGGCCTCTGGAGTCCTCTTGGAGGCCTCGTGGGCCGTCTTGGGGCCCTCTTGGGCACTTTGGGCCCTCTTGGAAGCGTCTTTGGCTGTCTTGGGGCGATATTGGGGGCCTCTTCGGCCGTCTTAGAGCGTTGGAAGCTTGAAAAGGCGAGAACGCTGACATCCTTTTCAAACATGCGATGTGAAAGGGGCCCTCGTGGGAGCCCTCTTGGAGCGCTTTGGGAGCGTTTTGGCGGCCTCTTGCTTGTGAATCATGAACTTTTGGACGTCTTGGAGCGCGCTTGGGCCGTGTCGGACCCCGTCGAGCGCTCCTGGAGGGTCATTGGGAGCCTTGAAGGCCGCGGCCAGGACTAAAACCATTTCTGATCCGTAATGGACAGAGTATTTTTCGTCCTGGGACCCCAGGGGCCGCCCCGCGCGCGCGAACTAGTGACAGTAACACTCTGAAGCTCTTACCGGGTATTTCCAGGAAGCCTCTGGCCCGTGGGTCCGGCGCATTTTTGCGACGCGCACAGCTCTTGCGATGTGGCCTGCGCACAGATTGTCTTGCAGGATGCGAACCAGTACGCATGGTCGTCCTCCCTCCACGTCTCGGGGGTTGTTAAAGGTGCCCCTGGCCCAAGGTACCCTTTGCTTTTCGCTCACGTTTGGAACCCTTGGGGCCCTCTAGGCCTCGTGAGGGGTGCTCTGGTGGCCTGGGGGCCTCCTTGGAAATCCTCGGGGCACCTTGGGCCAGGAGCACTTCTAGCAATACCCGAACGTCAGCGACGACCCAGATGGCACTGCAGTCGGCTACGGAGGCGGGGCCACCTACGACGGCCTCCGCGACTGGACCAGTGTGCAGTACGGCCCTGCCGGCGTCATCGCCACTGCCTCGCCGCTCGAGGTGGTCTTGGCATCGCTCGGACGTGTGTGTCTTTTCTCGGCGGGGACAGTCGAGGAGCATCCTGGGCCATCTTGCGGGCAAAAACACACACACACACACACGCACGAAACCGACAAGTGCACGGGCAGGGGACGTCCGAGCGATGGCAGGTGGTGGTGTCCTTCCCGACGAACGCGAAAGGCACGCTGCAGGCCGTGGAGGTGGCGCTCCTGCAGGACTGGGGGGGCCGGGCGCTGTCCGCGAACATCACCAGCTACAAGCTGGGGGGCCACCGGGACGGGCTGAAGGATCGAAGAAGGAAAGTACGGCATGCACATGAGCTCGTGGCGCTCCGCGCGGATTTCTTGGATCCTCGCTGGGGCTCCCCGGCGGCGCCTCCTGCGCAGCCACCAGCGCGCTCCACGCGCCAGGGAGGGGGGTCCAGCTCAGATGCAAGAGATCCGCGCGGAGCGCCAAAAATTTCTGTTTCTGGCGTGTTTTTTTTCTCGTCATTCTTTGAAAGGAGATGACCGCTGCCCTGGAGGCCGGCCTGACGCCCGTGATCAATTACTACAGCTCCTCCGAGCTGTCCTGGCTCGACGGGCGCGGCCTCGATGGCAAGGGCCCCTGCGCAGAGGAGCTCCCGTCGGACTGCGCTGAATCGGTCAGCTTCTTCAACTTCTCCATCGAGGACATCGGCGTCGAGGCAACGTCGACGGGATCCATGGCCTCCAGCACCGCGACCACCACCAAGGTGACGACGACCACGACGCGCACGACCACGGCGACCCTGGCGCACTTGCCCTTCGACTGCCACGCGAACCTGTCCACCTTCGAGCAGGACTGGTTCATGGCCAAGGCCTCGAGGATGACCAATAAGCGTAAGAGTGTTACTCTCGCAGGTCCGTGCGGAGTTCTTGGATCGGGGCCCCGCCCGCTGGCGCGCGCTCAGGGCGCTAGGGGGGTGGGCGCAGCGCCGAGCCAAGAAACCCGCGCGGACCTCCCGAAAACTCCTGCACGCGCCGATGCTTTTCCGTCCCCAAGCCTGAGATCCGACGCTGCGAAAGTACGCGCCACATGGCGGAAAAATCACGACCGGAGTCCTATAGACCAAACTGTTCTGCCGCATGTCTCGGTCTAGCGTAAAAGGAAAAGGAGGAGGAGGAGGAGCAGGAGGAGGAGGAGGAGGAGGAGGAGGAGGAGGAGGAGGGAGGAGGAGGAGGAGGAGGAGGAGGAGGAGGAGGAGGAGGAGGAGGAGGAGGAGGAGGAGGGAGGAGGGAGGAGGGAGGAGGAGGAGGAGGAGGAGGAGGGGAGGAGGAGGAGGAGGAGGAGGGGGAGAGAAGAGGAGGAGGAGGAGGAGGAGGAGGGCCGACCGCTCTGTGAGGGCCCCGCGGGCCCGACGAGAGAGACGCGCCCGAGAGAGCGAGCGAAGCCGCCGCGCCTGGGCCTCGGCGCGGCCAGGCGCTGTGGTGCTGCAGGAACATGCGGCTCGGCTGCCTCACCAGCACGACGCCCGCGGCGCCGACGTCCACCACGGCGGCGACGTCGCCGACGAGCGCGCCGCCGGCGCCCGCGGAGCCGGGGAGCACCGCCGCGGCCCTCGCGCAGGAGGCGACGCCGCCGATCGCGGCGGCCGCGCCCGTGGTGGCCCGGGGGAGTGGCCGCAACCGGCCGAGCGGCCACGGCCGGCGCGCGGCCACGGCCAGACGGCCAAACGGCCAGACGGCCAGACGGCCACGGCCAGACGGCCACGGCCTGACGGCCGGCCACGGCCCGCGGCCAGCGCCTCCGACGGCGCTCGCGCGCGCGGGGCTGGCGCCGCGCCGCTGCGCCCAGAAGTCGCGCCCCCACGCAGGGGCGAGCCGCCGCTGAGAGCCTGGCGTTGCACTTTGTTCCGCAGCGGGCGTGTTCGGCTAATTTTGGGCCCCGGGACCCTCACAGATCGAGCCGTCTCGAGACGGGACGCAGAAAGATGGAGTCCGTGGCTCCTGGCGTGATTGATTTCTCGCGATGTTGCAATTTGTCCGCAACGTCAGATCTCAGGGGGCGCGAGCCGAGCCATACGGTAGGTTCGCGTCGTGCGGACCGGCGGCGACCCCGCCGGCGGCGTTCAGCGTTGACCGCCGCCGGCGACCTAGAATCGATCGAGGTTGAACGACCTGACGTTTCGGAAGCGGCCGATCGTTCAAGGTTGAACACGATCCCTGCGGTGTCAGAAAGCGACGCCAGGGTCGACACGACACGAGCCTGCGGTACCCACGCCCCAAACCTGCATCGTCTCGAGGAACTCGAGACGGAGGTGTGTCGTAGTTTTCGGCCTCTGGGGGCCCTCGCAGGGCCCCGGGGCCGTCAACAAAAATGGATCCATGACGCGCTGCTGGCCCCGACCAGACTTCCGGGGATCCTGCATTGTCCGGAGGGAAAAACACAGGCAAAATTAATCGTCGAGTCCCCAGAAAATATGGGAACATATGGGAAGTGACGGGGGAGACGAAAATTCCCCAAATATGCAAAAATATTGGGGATCCTTGTCCATTTATCTGTGTGTCCCAGGGCCCCTTCAATTGAGAAACTCAAGACATCGGATTGGTGAGTACGCCGACGCAGCCATCGCTCTACCACAAGGAACGGTGAATAGGGAACCAGGGTTTTTTTCTCTGGCCACGGCGAGCCTCGGCCACGAGCGAGCTGGCCGACCTGGATCAAAGGAGCTGCCCGAAGAACAGAGCCCCTCCTGACCCCAATGTGGTCCTCAGTTCAGCACCTGGACTGTATGGATGTGTTCAATCCGCGGCCACAGAGGTCCCGAGCTTCTTTTTGTCGATGGTCGCCTCGGGGACGCGAAGACGGCTTAATTCTTAACGCTTCGCGTATCCTCACCAGCCCATCCAGAAAAGATGCCCATGAGAGCTGAGCTGACGGGGGGAGAGAGGAACTCTTGGGTGCCTCTTGGAGGCCTCTTGGGGCCTCTTGGAGCTCCCTTGGAGCCCTCAAGGGGGCCTCTTGGGAGCCCTGGGGGCCTCTGGGGGCCATCTTGGAGGCGGTCGGTCAAAAGAGGGGGGTCCTAAGTGTAGCTCCCCCCTTCGGGGGCCACGATCCTCGTGGGGGGTGTCAAAAAGTGTCCCTCCCAGGGGCTGAAAAAGGACCTCCTCCGTCACTCTTCCTTGTGAGGTCGCACCACCAGACGTGTCCGTAGGCTGGCCCGAGCGTCTCGCAGAAGATCCATTGGCTGACGCCGCACCGCCGACCCCTTGGGGCGGCAGTAAAAGTGAAAAGCAGAGTTTGCGGAACGCGCGCGCGCGATTTCTGTGGAATCTTTGGGTTTCAGTTTCGTGGGATTTCGTCGGGGGCGGTTGGCGGATCGCGGCTTTGCTCTTGGGTTTCTTTGGACTCTCCTGGCAGCGCTTTTGATGCTTCTTGGGGGCCGTGTTGAGGCCTCGAGGGGCTTCTTTTGTTTTCGGGGTTGGAGCCTCTTGGAGGTCTTAGCGCCTCCTCAGGTTTTTTCGGGGCCGACTGCTCGAAACGTCCATTCGGGTTCCCCCTCTGGGCCTCCTTTTGGGGCCGTCCTGGGGCCCTCCTGGGCCGTTTTGGAGGTTTCTGGGGCTGTCATTGGGCCCTCTTGGGCCGTCTTGGAGCCCTCTTGGGGGCCTCTTGGGGTATCGTGGGTCGATCTTGGAGGCTTCTTGGGCCGTTGTGGGCCTCGTGAAAGCCCAAGAAGGCGAATGTGCTACAAATATAATTTTTCCCCTCGGGAATGGGACGATTTTTGCTTTTGGAAGGCCTCTTGGTGGCTTCTTGGGGCGTCTTGGGGGCCTCTGGGGCCGTCTGGAGGCAATCTTGGGCGTCTTGGAGCGATCTTTCGGCGACTCGTAGCCCTCTTGGACCGTCCGGGGGGGCCTCTTGGAACTCTCTTGGCCCGTTTTGGGTCCCCTGAGACTCCAAGGGTGCGGCCGTCACTTTCCCCCTCCCCCCCCTCCAAACCGGCCGGACCGGGCTCCCGGGGGAGGGGTTTGGGGAGGGGGAAGCATCTCACACGCCGTCGCCCCAAGGAGTCGGCGGATTTGTTCTTAATGCGAGAAGGTCTGGGAAGCCGGTCCCCCCCGAGCGTTCCCTCTCGGCCCGGCCTGGCGTTGTGCCCAGGCCAGCACCACGGGCGCCGACTTGGCCTGGCCCCTGGGCGCCGGCTTCGAGTTCCCCCCCCTGGAGTTGAAGGCGCGGAAGGGCCAGGGCACCCAGCGCCCTGAGCAGCACGAGGCGGAGGCCTTCGTCGGGCGGAGGCAAACGTAAATCGCTCCCAGCAGTTGCTCGAAGGAGAGCGAGGTATAGAGAGGGAGAGAGAGAGAGAGAGAGAGAGAGAAATCGGCATAACCACCAACTCAGCGACGCGAGCAAAAGCGGTGTCGTCTGCGCCGACGTTGGCGCGTAACCCGCGTAAGGTCGCGCGTAAGCGCATCCGTTTCCGATGTAGTATCGTGCCGCGCTGGCGGCCCGCGTAAGCGACCGCGTAAGGTCGCTATTTTATCTCGCGTAATACCCATTTCTTTTCGTTGCTCAACTGTCGGAATTCCGCACAGATTTCTTATATCGGTGCGAGGACCCCCCTGGCGGCGCTTCCAGCGCATCCTCTGGCGCGCTCCGTGCGCCAAGGAGGGAGTCCAGCGCAGATCGAAGAAATCCGCTCGGAGCTCCGAAAGTGTATGTTCATGGTGTTTGTTGTCCTTCTACTCGGGCGGGGTATTTCATAATTCGTTTCAACGCTTTCCAGAATGCTTTCAGAGCGTCCTGCAGCGCTCTGGAACGGCCGCAACGCCTGGTATACTCTCTAGAACCAGAGGACATCAGAGATCTATCCGATGTATCCCGTTCCGATTCTGTCCTGGTCCTGGTTTCGTCTTACTTCCCACAGTTCTCAGTCTTTGGGGGCCAGTTCAAGGGTCCGCGGGGCCGATGAGGAACGATCCGGGATCGGTCGGGACATCCTCCCCCTTCTCCTCCTCTTCCTCCTCCTCCTCCTCCTCGTCCCCCTCCCTCCTCCTCCTCCTCTTCCTCCTCCTCCTCTTAGGTGGCGGCTCGAGCGGGCGCAGCTGCCCGAGGAAACCGGCCACAACGCCGCCGCGCGGCGCGCCCCGAAGGCGCCACGGGCCGCGAGCGATCGCCCTCGCCAGCGTGGCACAGGAGACTGCGCAGGGAAAGGGCGGCATCGAGACATCGGCTACGGGCTGAAGCCGACAAACTATTGCTACGACAGCACCACGGAAGTACTCCACCTGCAATGGGGAAGGGACAGCAGAAAGGGCATGACGAAGTCGCAGCAGATGAAGGACCAGTGCTCAGTATGCAAGAAGTGCAACGAGTGGTGGTACCATAGCAAGCTGAGCTTCATGAGCTGGACCTGCACCTGCACCGCGAAGATCGCCAAGCCGCAGTATGTCAAGCAGCTGGAGTGGGAGGACGAGTGGAACGACTGGAGCAACAATGACAAGAAGTTCGACCACGAAAGCGGCAAGGACAAGGGCTTCGGCAAGAGCGGCAAAGGAGGAGCAGGCTGGAAAGGCAAAAGCACATGAGGCAAAGCAGCGGAGACATCCGCAACGGCAGTGAGCAGGATGACGAATTCATTCCAGAGTATGGCCGTACACAATGGAGATCAACTCGTTCGACAACTGAATGGGATGGCAAGCCAGGTCGCGGCGGCGGCCACACCCCCACCAGAGAGGAAGCCAAAAGCAGTGCGCCTGGCGGAAGCGGCAACCAGACTACAGAAGGCGATTAGAAACTATAATTGGAAGCGCGAAGAGCTGAAGAAAGCTGAAGAGAAGATGGCAACACTCAAAGCATAAGTACACCAGCACGCAGCACAAGTGGTCGACATCGAGGTGGAAATCGAGGGTATCCAGGCAGAGGGCAAGACCGTACCACCTCAGGGAGTTTTGGCACAGCTCCTTTCCTCAGACGTGGCGGAGCTGGCGGAAGGAGACCTGAGGGAAGTGGACGACGCCCTGGGCATCAACGACGCGGACCTGGACGACGAGGGGAAGATGGCGATCCAGAAGGCAAAGCAGGAGGTGGTCGCGCAGCTGAAGGCAAACGCGGCATCCTTCGCAGGGCAGCTGAAGACGCACTTGGAGATCGCAAAAGCAAAGGCGGCTGAGCAGAGGACAGCGATCACACAGGCGGCAAAGAAGAGGAAGAGCGATGGAGGCGCAAAGGTGGAGCTGCAGCAACCAGAGCAGGAGATGAAAGAAGACATGAAGGAAGAAGTCACGGACGCGGACGACATCGACGAGATCCTGAAGGCGGCAAGGGCAGCAAGGGCAGATGCCGCCAGCTAGGTTGCGGCGCAGGGAGGCCGCCGGAAGCGCGACGACGGCGGCCCCCGCGCGCGCAGCCTGTGCGTCGCCAACATAACGACATGGGGACCGACTGCGCACGCGTGGCTCATGCGTTCGGCGAACAGGAGGGAGTTCGACGCCTTCGCTATTCAGGAGACACACGTCACAGTCGACAAGGTAGAAGAGATTGAAGCGAGGCTGACGAAGGAGGGCTTCAAAGCTTGCTTCGCGGGGGCTCGCGAGAGCACGAGATCAGCGGGCGGCTCATGCGGGGGAACAGCCACGTTGATGAAGGGGCATCATCAAGCGACGTTCTTCAGACATGCAGCCAAAGATCCGGTATCTCAGGCAACCGCAAACATGATGGAAGGAAACCAGTGCGACTACGACATGTGCGACTGGGCGCCAGGGGCACGGCGCATGAAAGGGTTCACATCATGGGTTATTCGTATTTATTTGGACGCCGACTTCTCCCTACAGGTGGGCATCAATTCAAGAAAATTAGCTTCATTGGCAGCTTGTGTGAGAGCTGCGGATTTGCCGTGGCTCAGTTGTGGAGATTTCAATCACGCCCCAGATGCGTTTTGGAAGTCGGGATGGGCCAAAGCTACGGGAGCCGAGGCAGCGATCACGGTCCCAGAGGGTGATGGCGCATGCTTCCCCGGCGACGCGGAGTCGAGCATTGATTTTGCCATCGTCGATGCCAGGGCCGAGAAATTCGCGAAGAGTATCGAGCCCATCCTCGATGCGCAGTGGAAACCTCACATCGCGCTGAAGACAGAGCTGCGCGGAGAAGGGGCATCGACGAAGCGCAGACAGCTGAAACCCCCGACGGCCTTCCCCCGCCCGCCCAGGCCCAAGAGAACGCCCAACCCGAACAGCAAGAGGCAACGCCAGAAGACAGCAGCACAAGCGAAGCGGCAAGCTGAAGAAGCAGCCGCAGCAGGACACGGAGACACCGCCAACTTCGAGGCGATCACGGAGAACAGAGAGGGGGGCCCGGACTGCGCGAGGCGGGAAGCTTCGAGGCCATACGGCTGGAGCAGACGCCCAGCGATGCAGGGCGGGAAGACGGGCTCAACGGCGGAGGCCCCTGACGAGCCCAGAGTGCATGACGCGGACTGCGCGACCAACGTCGTGGCAGACAGGACTTCGTCAGTACCAGAGCGGACCCTTACCCTGGGGCACCGCCAGTCGGAACACGAGGGGGAGGGCCCAGCCCGCAGATGCCAGGAGAACCGCGAACACAGCGAGTGGCAGAGTCGGGGGACCTCGCCTGGGCGAAGTACTATTGGAACAGGATGTGGAAACGAGTATCAGGGCCAGCCCGCGCGGACAGAGCCTCACGGGATCAGAGCCCACAGCCAGGCAGTGAACCACATGTACAGCGACGAAGTGGACCCCTTCGACGACATTATCGAGTATGAGGAGGATGGCGGTTGCGGAGAAGTCGACCCGTGCGAAGTGGCTGGCGCGCTACGAGCAGGACATGGAAATTGAGTTCCAGGCTACTTACGGCGACGAGCTCGGGGAGATGGACAACCCTATTGATGAGCATGAAATACCATATGCGAGCGAGAAGGCCCATGCAAGTGATGGAATACCCCGCCCGCGCGTCGCAAATTGCCAGAATATATTGGGAAGAGCGGCAACCAGTGCGAGCAAGCCGCTGGAGGACCGCACCGTTGAGGCAACGCGCAAGACCGACGCCGCGGTAATGAACGAACGAAGTATGGAATGCAGCCTCAATCATTCACGCCAGAGATGAAGCGGACGAACCGCCATCCTTTATTTCAGCGAGTGCGGCCTACAAGTCTGGCCCTGAAGGCGCAAGAGCTCTAGCCAGAACGTGCAACAAAACCATGGGTGCGCTCGAGACGTCCTACTGCATGTGCTACGAGATCGACCTAGAGGACCGCGGCCGCTGCAAGGGGAGAGGGAAAGCTACATCTTGCGAGACGGTCAACGCACGTGAGAAAGGAGAAAGACGGACATGGCACGCCAGTGTGGGAGCGGATTGGTGGAGCAGGACGGAAGCAATCCTCTACAATATGATCATGCACAGACAAGAGGGGAAAGCGGAGCGGCACATCGACGCGCTCGTGAAGGCAGCGAGGCGATTGGTTTTTGAAGGAATCCCAGGGGCTGACAATGCGACACCGACGGCGGAGCTGCATCTACCAATATGGGCACATCGCATGAGGAACCTGACGAGCGTCGACACAGGGATTTTGGAGGGAATGGCGTGGCAGGCGGAGATCCAGGGGCAGGCAACAGTACAGAGGGACCTACGTGAAGGAGTCCGCACCTATGCTACATGGTTGGCTATGGCGGAGAAGGAACCGGGAATTCTGCACAGGATAACGAGACCACCTGTACGGCGCGAAGAAGAAGAAGTAGCGACGTCAAGCGGAGTGTTATGCTGCCCCACGGAGACTGTGGACCTCAAAGCGGAGATGTTCAAGGCAACCTGGGCGGACCTTGACAACCCCCACGAGAGGCACTGTCAGAACCTCGAGTACTTTAGGGGATTGGCGCGCCAGGAGGACCCGCAGGTACGGGCGCTCGGCGACCTGGATACCGCGCTGAAAGGAGAGCCAGACAAAGGGCAAGGAGTCAATAAGATAGCATGCAGTGACATACGCCGCCTCCCTGAAGAGGGAAGGCAGGCACTCGTGGACCTGTGCAACGAGTGCGAGGCGAGGATGATGTGGCCATGGCAATTATTGTGTTCGGTAGTCATGGTCACGCCGAAGCCAGAGCAAGGGGGCACGGCACTGGCACTTCCACCGCAGCTGGTAATATGCTGGGAGCTACTGCGTCGGCCGAGGGTAAGATCATGGGCGAAGGAACAGGAGAGAGAATGGTGTGCGGCAGTACAAGGCAACAGCTGTCTACGGGAAGCGCTGCGACGCGCCGTCACGGACG